GGGGGGGGGGGGGTAACGCACATTAAAGGCTGGTGCGGCCTGAACAGCGTAGGTGGTCAAAGCTTCATAGCAACGGAGACAAAAATCTGGCAACAAGTCCTCAAGACTTCGTTGTTGACTTTCTGAGACGTTTTCAAAAATAACTCATGAGGAGTTTTTATCTCCCCTGATCGCAGAGTGTTGCTCCAGTAGAGGGCAGCGTTCGTATCCGGGATAGTTTGGCTTCATTTGTGGATCGCGGGAGGACGAGGTGTCGTCTGTCTTTGTTCACGGTCTGCGGTTCGGAATCGAACACAAACAGAACCGCAGCTTCTCAACAATCGAGCTGAGGGACAAGACAAAGTGAAGTGTGAGAGGGATTTGAAATGTCCACATGAAGCCTTCTGTTCTTTTCATCGAGGAAAAGATAAACTTCCAAAATGTTTGATGAGGGACGAGTCCACGACTTTAAAACGTCTAAGTTGCTTTCTTGTTTAAAGTCTTTCATCCCCTCCCCCCCCTCCCTCCCGGAGACATTTTAATATGTCACACATTAACCGCAGAGATGGTGTCGCAGGCGACAGACCAACGCACGCGTGGCGGAGGCGTGTAATTGTGCCGTCGCTCCACTCGGCGGTTTGTTTTCCGAGCCGCGAGATGATTGGAGCAGATAAGACGAACCTCTAAATATAAAATGGTGGAATCATTAAAACCATGTAAATATTCTCCACCAATCCCTTTACACTAATCCTCACCATGGCCAATGAAACCATTCATTAGAAAATCATTCCAGGATTTTTGACTTTATGCTCGTGTGAGAGAGTCCGTGCATGTGAGTGTGTGTTGTGTGTGCGTTGCCTTGATGTGTGCTTATGTTTGGGGAGTGCTGACATTCTCGTTTAGGTATAACTGACAACATTAGCTTTAATCCTGAGTTGAAAATATCTGACATTGTTCCTGGTTTTATTTTCGCAGATTGGAACTCGTTATCTGACAGAGTCTCTTTTTAACATTTTCATTTTCGTGGCTCTGCTTCAAGGGAAAGAACCGATTCAATATTCTGCCATGTTTTTTTTTTTATATATCTGATTTAAGTTTGGATATAAGGTCTCCACTTTTATCAGGGTTAACGTTTCTAATTAACCTTGAGGCTGAAGATATAAAAGATTTGTTTCGGGCAGCTCGCTCAAAAAGTAAAAATTTGCGTGTACTTTCACTTTGTGTACATGAGACAGTTCTCAGAGTAACTGAAGGTCCCTGGATTCAAATGAAAAGTGAGACAGGCCTGCAGCTAATTATTATTTTCATTGTTGAGTCACATTTCAATTTATCGCTTCTGCTGTAAAATATCAGAAGAGTTGGCTGAAGCCAGAGGCGTCATTACATGAGAGGAAGAGTTCAGACGTCCGGTGACGTAAGACAAAGACAATCTGCAAATTCTCTCATGATAAATTAGGACAAGGTGAAATATTTTGTGTGGAAAGTGTCAAACGGAGCTAAGTTGTGGTTTCGTGCAAGGACAAACACACACACACACACACACACACACACACACACACACACACACACAGAAACACACACCTACCCTCCACCAAGATGGAGGAGAGGGCCTCCATTTCAGGCCAGGCGGTGGGTATCGGTGAACCTTCCCCCAGGTGTGTGTGTCTGTGTGTGTGTGTGTGTGTGTGTGTGTGTGTGTGTGTGTGT